GTAGATGATTAAAAAATTATAATTGCTATAAGATTTTTTTGATAACCCTGTTTGGAATTTAACCCAAGACCTGAAGAGTGTAAGAGTCATATTGGAACCTCCCAATCATCTAGATCACCTATGATGGGTATAATTAGTTTAAGATTTATTAGGTACTAGTGCTAATCCCATGCTAAGCATGGCCTAGCATTTTAGTTTGCACATCTAATTAAGATAGGTCTTGAGTCGTAAATTTTAGGACAAATTTTTAAAAGGGGCTTTTTTTCAAATTTATATAGCAAATACCGACAATATTGGAAATTAATCTGCAAAACCGACCCTTTTCTTCGGAAAAAGGTCGGTTTTGCAGCGACGATGTTTTTCGAACTACACGGGACTAGCAGTCCCGTGTAGTTCAGCCAGCATTTGAAATGCACGGGACTGCTAGTCTAGTGTATTTCATTTTTTCTTTCGGATAGTCTCTGCTTTTTACTCAGGACTGATAGTCCCGAGTAAAAAGCAGAGACTTTTTTCGTCACAAACTAATTGAATGGGCTGGTAGTCCTGTGCTTTTCATGACACAAACAAAATGCACGGGACTAGCAGTCCCGTGCATTCCTGTGCACAAAAACATGCACATGTTGCTTTTCCTTTTTCTGTCAATTCTTTCTATCAATTCCCTGTATAAACTCATATATCAAATCTAAAAATCATAAATTACACCATTGCATTTCCTGTCAATTCCCTGTATAAACTCATATATCAAATCTAATAAATTACACCACAAACACAAACTCATTTACAAATTCAACAAATCACACCACAAACCCACTTACAAATCCAACAAATCACGTCACAAACCCACTTACAAATCCAATAAATCACACCATAGTCTCGGCTACAAATCCAAAAGCCATCTCACATCCCGAAATAGATTTGTAGTGCACATACCAAAATAGGATTGTAATGTTTATAACAATATTGATTAGTTTATATACATCCAAGAACTCTTCTCCTCCTCCTTTGTCTTCGGCCCCCTCCCTCCCGACCTTCGACGAGTTCGTGATCCGGTTGCGTTTGTGGTTGTGACAGTCCAACTCCGTCATCAACACATTGGGAAGGCCCAGCTTCATTGTCGTTTCTGCATCATCCTCGTCTTTGTTTTGGTTGACGCGTGTATACGAATTGTGTTACCTCTCGTCCATCATGAAGGTCTTCGTGAGTTTGGTGTAAGGCTTGGTGAAGCCTCTGCATTATTGACTGATATATTAATGCATGATCTTGTGCTTCGGGAGATGTACCTGCAAGGGATAATTCAAAAAATCCGAAATGCAAAAAATTACTTTAAAATTCAAATTACATAATGTAAATTTCATATTCAATTCGATATTACCTGCTCGAGCCAATTCCATGCCGCGATTTGCAATGGTTTGAACATCATCTATTGCTGATTCCTGCAATTTTTTCTAAAAACACGAATTAGCAATATTGAGAAATACCAAAAAAATGGACTAAATTGTTCAAAAACAAAATTTAAAAATACTTACTAATTTTCTCTCATCTATACCCCGAGGCACATATCCTTTTTGCAACTCAACCGGTATTGTGGTCTCATGGAGTATCCATCTTCTGGTTATCCCCCAATACCAAGTGTAGTAATCTGATTCCCGGAGAGTTGGTTCAATTTGCTCAACAGCTTCATATCCCTCATTAAATTTAACAACAAAATAAAAAAATTTACCTTGATCGGAGTTTGGTCAGAGCTTGGTCGGCGACGGTGGTCAGGAGCTTGGTCAGATCGGCGGTGGGGGTCGACAGAGTAAAGAGAGGGGAGGGGCGAGAGAGGGAACCGAGAGAGGAGAGAGGGGTGTAAGAAGTGAGGAGTCACGGGTCAACGAGGAAATGAGTGGGTCACGGGTTAAAAAAGAAATGATCGGGACTGCTAGTCCCATGCATTTCAATTGCTGGCCGAACTACACGGGACTAGCACTCTCGTGTAGCTCGAAAAAACAACCCCGCTGCAAAACCGATCATTTTCTTCAGAAAAGGGTCGGTTTTGCAGATTAATTTTTAATATGGTCGGTTTTGCTATATAAAATTAAAAAAATACCCTTTTTAAAAATTTGTCCTAAATTTTATTATATATTTTTAACTTTATCAAGTTTGAAACAACCAAATAATAAGATACACCAAATACTAAATGGTAGAATTACAATTGACAATTGACAAAAAAAAAGATCAGATTTTCAAAACCAACCTTCAATCTTGCAGCTAAAGATAAATCATAGCTAACAAATAGAATATTTAAGATATTTTCGAAATTACATCCACTTGTTAGCAACATAGTAAAAAAAAAAACTTAGAAAATGAAAACTTTGTTACATGTCTAGAAAATGAAAATAAGTTTGAAACAACAAAATAACAAGATACAACTTCCACCCGATTTTACTGTAGATTAAATATGACCTTCAAGTTTCAAAATTTTACTGTAGCATGAACGATATCTATAATGTTCAAAAATTTCCTGTAATTCGGAGCATGCTTGCTGACTGGAATTTCACCGTAATATGAACAGTGTTCGTATCTAGCATGAACGTTGAGTTTAGTATTCTGCTTTTAGGTTAAAAGTAGTAGGTAGATATATTAAATCAAATTAATTACAGACATCAGACTACTACATATATTCGAGTCTAGATTCGTACACATATAGTTACACATCAGCAAGGAATAGCATATGGAAAATGATAGGGACACACCCTAAACCACATCTCAAACCACACCCCCTCTCTCATATGCTACAGTACACCGGGCCCCATATGAGATTTTAAAATTTTAAAATCCAATGTGGAGCCCGGTGCACTATGGCATAGGAGAGAGGGAGTATGGTTTGGGATGTGGTTGGGGGTGTGCCCCTAGTGACACCCATAGCATATATGTATTCTTTTGCACCGCACTACGTTGTTTAGCTTAAGCTGCAGTGTTTCTGATATTTTCAACCTGTCCAAAAAGTTGAAAGGGCTTTTTTCTATATGAGCCTCTCAAATCAATGAAATTGCCACTGGATTCCTCAATTCTTAAGTTATTTTCAATTTACTTCGTCAAGTCATTGAAATTGCTACTAGATCTTCCTATTCTCCTAAGTGGTTCAGGTTAATCCATCTAGTTTTTGTTTCCGCTTCTACTTTTTATCGCGGAGTTAATTAAAAAAAAAGTAAGAATTGGAGAACATAACGGCAATTTTAACGATTTCAGGGAATAAGTCAAATATGGATGATGTAAGGTACTAAAACAAAAATTAGGAAACAAAAGGGGCAAATTTTTAGAATAGACCCCATTAGTAATTGTAGACGGTAAAAAATACCTCTATGGGTTTACAGGAAATTCGCCTGCGAGAAGAGCTCGCACGCTCGGTTCTCTGGCACGGGCCTAAATCGCATAGACGTCAGATATGTTCGATTCTAGGTTCGTCTTACGGTCGGCTCGCCAGCACGAGTTAAGATCGATCAGGATGGCGGAGGTTCGCCTTTCACTCAACTCGCCTGCCCGAGTTCAGGGTCGAATCCGCCAGCAATCTCAAGACCGTCAGTACAGCTGGGTATCCACTACCCCACGTGCTGAGATGGGCCTTCCCATCTCTCTCGACCCGAAGGAAGAGAGCACAGTACCCCAGGACCGTCAAACGGCCGCTCGCAGTACGCACAGCACGAAGGCCTGGACAGGTGTCGAGTCAACCTGAGCATTCATAAATGCGGCTCACCTCGGCTGTCTGAGTCAAGAGCTATATCCGCCGGCACTCAGCAAGTTGGCTAGACCCACTCGAGTACTGTGCACCTACTTGGCCGCCTCTCCTGACCGGAAAGGAGAAAGCACCGTGCTCAAAGCACGCCGGGCGGTCACGCACAGTACGAGTGATCGGACAGACACTTCATCGATCTGCGAACTCATAAATGCGGTTCATTAATGCTGGTCAAGTCCACTCGGATAGCAGACGGCCGTTGCCTCATATACAAGGATGGGCCTTCCCATTTTAGGTGACAGGACATAAAGCACAATCCCTCGAATGACCATTCATGGTATCGAGGAGCAGCTAGACGTCTCTGAAGAAGATGTGGTCACATCCCACAATTCAAGGAGGAGTCAAGTTGTCCTTCTCCCATTTAAAAGCCTCTTCCGGCACACTGGAGGGGAGGTCGCAAAACTTTGAGAAAAGAGTTGAGACCAAGCTCTCTGCATAATCTTTGCATTGCAGCATCACTGTTTAGTTCCGAGCTCCGATCGCCGGCGAACTAAATAGACCCGAACTCCATCGATTCGAGCTTCTACTGCGAACTGAAGCTCTCCAGCAACCTCATTCGAACGGTCCAAGGGAAGCAGACTCGACACGAGCATCGAGCGAAGCGTCCTATAGCCACCTAAAGTCCCCACACAAAACAAAGAGGGCATTCCCTCTGCTTCTGTTGTAACCATTTGATTATTAGTTTGTAATAAGCTTTCTTATAAATACAAACGAAACTCCCTTTTTCGGGAAATCAAATATTCACTCTACAGTAATTTATTTTTTAAAATGACCACTTTGAGATTTAGTTGTCATTATCGACCTAGTTGCAGCTACCTAATTAACACTGGGTCAAAAATGACAAATAAAGTTTAAAAACAACAAATAAAATTCAAAAACTAAACGGAATTTAAAATCCTGTGAAGTTTAATGCTTGATTAACCAAGCTAATAAAGCTGCAGAAGTTCGAAAACTTCACAGGATTTAAAATCTCGTGAAGTTTATTACTTGATTAACCATACTAAACTTCATGGGATTTTAAATCCCGTGAAGTTTTCAAACTTTATTTACCAATTTTGACCCGTTTTTTAGCCAGTTGGCTGAAACCAGGTCGAAAATGGTTATTAAATTTCAAATGGATCGATTTTAAAAAATAAATTTCTAATTGGGTCTATTTTGATAATTTGTCCAAGCAAAAATGAATTAATCTGCAAAATATAAGGGGCTATAAAGTAAACATCAAAAAGTTCGTCGGCGCCGTGAGTAGTGGAGGAGGGACTGAAGCATACAGAAGAAGGAGGAGAGAGAAAGTTAGGGTTTCTCAACTCCATTCACTGAATCGAGATCCTCGAAGATCTCGAGATCGCAGATCGTAAGAAAGCTCTCTCATTTCTCTCGTTTTCATCTATTAATCTTCTAGCTTTTTTTTGATTGTTATAATCGCTTCTTTTTGTCCCTATAGGTGATTATTGTATTGATTGCTGTAATGTGAATGAGTTTGGTTTAGAAGAATGAGGATTGATGGTAGCTTTAGCTAGTAGATCACTGGCTCAGTGGGTTTTGGTGGGATTTGATGGCATTTTGGTCGAATTCGTTGAGATTGAGGACTTATGCCCTCGATTTTTCTTGTCCAGTTTTAGGGTTTGGATTGATTGGTTACTTATGAGCAAAATCAGATGGCTTCGTTTTTGTGGATTATGATTAATCTTTCGATGTCATTCAAGTAAAGATGTTAGGAGTTTTCTGGGGGAAAAAGCATGTTAGCGTTTATAAGAGATTTTAAAATCCCTCCTTCTAGTTCTGTTACAAATGACATCGAAGCCCACCCCATCTCTTACAATGGGGTGGCACGGGTAGTAAGGCCGGCATTGTAGTGTTTGTTTGGGACTGTCTTGAGAAAAACTAAAGGATAACATTGATGGCGGAAGCGTGGTGGTGTGTTAAGATCCTCTGGTTCCAAATTGACTAAATGGCAAGTCAATTGCGATTTTATGAGAGATTTGAGTTCCCTCTCTCTAACAATGAGCTTTTAGGGGAGGTCTTTTACAAAAGATTGTTGAGTTTTGGATTTGCTTGGTTTGCCTTGTTCTTTTAGCTTTTTAACCTCATCATGTTTGCTTTGTTTGCTTGCAGTTTGTAGTTACTTGATTTGTCTTATTCATTATTCCACGTAATAAAATATTGGATTTCCTTACTTTGTTAGTTTCGTGCGTGCTTAATAGCTATATGTACATTTCATATTTTTCACTTGGCTTCTTTTATTTTGCAAACTTTAGTCATTTGTGACATCTTACTACAGTACCACGCCCTATTTTATTGGTATCATAATTCATGATTTATTACTGAAAACTGAATATTATCTTAAAAAAGAGATATGAAACACTTTATTGAACCAGAGAGCTAAATTTCAAGTGCTGGAAAACTGAAGATAATGAATAAGCTTTTACTTAACAATTCCGGTTTGATGTATTTAAAATGTCAATTTATGGGGTTCTTTCTTGTACATAATAAAGTAATAATTGGTCTGGATAATATTTTGATTATATTATTGAATCTTCCAGCTGAGCGAACCTTTTTTTAGCACCCAACTAAAGCCTTGATTTATGATTTGAACAATGTAGTAAGTTGCTTAGCAGTGGAGAGATGATTGTTTTTTATACTGATTTAGTTAAAACTCAAGAAAATAAGTGAATGATGACTTTGGTACTATTATTAGTTTGAGATGGAATCATCCTTTCAGATACATTGTGGCTGCTCCTTTTAGACTTCTTCTGAGTATCATCTTGCTAGACTATTCCTACACCAAGTTACCAACTAGCTACTCAGACATGAGCCTTAACTTTGACGATCTCCTTCTTTTGCTCCTTAGCCTGCAGGGTATTACTAACTACTTCCAATTCCTATTCCCCTTCCTAGAGCTTTTATGCATTTGTCGCGTGTCTATCATTTGAAATAGCACATGTTGAATTTGCACTTGTTAAGCATGGCACTAGCATTCATGTTGAACTAGGAATGAACTATCCATGAGATTCATGGTAGCATTGTTTTTAGCTTCCTTGTTTGTAGACAAAGTCGATTCATAATTTCTTCTATCCCAAGCATAACTTGCATAAAAATCCTACCGTAAGCACCCCATAATGCCATAGTAATTAGTTTGTTTAAGTAATAAAATAGTCAAATAACTCGAAGAATTTTTAATTTTAATCCGAAGAATTTATTGTCTCTGTTCATGGTAATTTTTATAATAACATATCAAGATATGGTCATGAGAGCTGAACGGTCTTAGATTTTATGGTGCTTATACTAGCTAGTGTTTTAGTAATGACAATTAGGACATCGTTCTGGATATCTTAATTCAAATTGTTTAGTTAATGGATCTCTTTCATATTCTTGAGCCAAAAATCTACATACAAGTGAAGTATCAATTTTATAATCTCTTGTTGTGACTAGTTGATTTATGCTCCTGTAACTTGTGGCTTAGATAGATAGACTTTGACATCCATGGTCCCCAGTTAGGTAGTATACCTGATTGATATATAACACCAACAAACAGTTTTTTCACTGGTTATTTTCAATGATTTTACATTATATTCTGACTGCTTCGTGATTCTTGATAATCCAACAACAATGTGATGAATGATTTCTGGCATTGTATTTTACAATAACTTAGTAGAATCTATTGTCAAATACATATAAATTTGTGTTAGGCTGACTGGTTCTAAGATCAGAATGGTCCGCTAAATACTTTGGCAAGTACGCTCTGCGGCTCTGGAAACAGGATAGTCTTTCCTCAAACACACAAATATGTGCGATATTGATATTTCTTTCGTTCTTGTAAAATTGCCATACTTGTTACAGAGGTTCTTATAGTTGGTAGATTATTATGTTCCTTATATTTATTGTGGGAGGCTTATTTATTGTATAGATATAATTTCAAGTATAAACTTTATCAGTAATTTGCTCAGGTTTGCACAAAGTTATTATGTTTTGATAAAAATAAACAAGCTAGTAGTTGCTGCTGTTAGTTCTTGGTAGGAAGAATAATGATCTATGTTTTAGTATCTTTGGACTAATGAGGCAATGATACATAATAGGTAGCTTGAAATTTACTGGTTAGTCTTGTTGTGAATTTTGATTCAAGAAGGTTACTGCTGCATGTGTTGCAGATTTGTTGCGTTACATTGTCCATTTTCCTTAAATGAAACTAATTAAACAAAATAGTAACAAAGCTAAAACAGACTCAACCCATCACAGTTTGAATCTGCAGGATGAGTTTCTTTGTGTCATCTTTTTTTCTTCTTCTTTGCTTCCAAATTCTTCATGTGTATTTATTTATTTATTTATTTATAGCTCAATGAAGAAAGAGATTATAGAGATGTGCACAGATGGAGAGTCAGAGTGCATTCTGATTTCTTCAGCTTCTGAAGATAATCCTGAAACGGAGAATCCTGAGTCTCATGTTCTTCCCGTGAGTTTAGAATCACATGGAGATGGTGCCATCAAAGATGACATTACATACCCAGTGGACATTTCTATTAGCGGAGCTGATAACTTTCTCAAGGAGCAAGAACTGCCATGTGTTGCTAACTTAAATTTGGATGCTGAGGTAGGAGAGAAGAAAAAGGTGAACGGGGTATTGCAAAAACAAGAAAATAACAAAATATTGGGCCAATCTGAGAAGTTGGCTTCAAAATCCACTCGTGCTGTAAATGTGAGGTCCAGTCAATCTGTTCCCCAGCCAAATGCTGCTCACAATGGGAACAAAAAATACAACTCAAATAGTTTGCAGTCACAAAACCTGGTGAAGAAGGCTCAGGTTAATTTCTTTTCTTTTCTTTTCTCAACCTGATCCACCATTTCATGTTTTACATTGTCAGCATCTTGTGTCCTCAAGGCTCTACTTGAGATATCAACTTATTTCCTAGAATACACTAAGCATCTTGACCTAAATGTGTAAAAAGCCTTTTTTTTTTCACTTTGGTTTCATTCATTCTTTCTCTCTGGAATCATCTTTATTTATGTTTTAGATTCTGTGCTCTGTTCTGCATGTACCTATTGCATACAGTGTCTTATTTCTCTATTTCTTTTCTATTATTGAGCACGGGGAATTAGAGATACGCTCTCAATAGTCCTTGCAATTTCTTTTACTCACTTCTTACTTATCTTTTTTCACTCTATTCTTATTTCAAATTTTTGTTTGTTTGTAAAGTTTCATTTTACTTATCTCTGATTCTCTTATGCCAAACTGGTTATTTTGATCACTTGCATATTATTCTAAACTTGAATGATCAAATAAAGTTTTATGTCCCTTGATATTTTGTTGACGCTATCTATTTTGGACTTCAGAGTTACTTGTACTCTTTCATCCCGCGTTTTTATAGTGCTGTTAGTTTTTGTCCCACAAGCATACTGGAAGGGTGCTCCCTGTATCTTTTGTAGTTTGGTCTAAACTGGTATTTGAAATTTCATGTCTCTTGGACATTGTGCAACTACTATTGGCTTATATTTTTGGGATGTATTATAGGGTAAGTTGTCTCTTACATCAAGGAAGCCTCTGGAGCCTGACAACACAAAACACACTGATGAAGATGATTCTTGCTCCGTTGCTTCTTCGTATCCCCTAACAGTCATTTTTGAAATCTGTTTATTATTTTATTTTGTAATGATGGTTTCCTGAACAATCATAGAACTGCAACATCTGTGAAGACATTGAAAGGCAGGACTATCACAGCATTGGCACCTAAATTTAGATGCAGCGAGCGTGCTGAGAAGCGGAAAGAGGTAGGGTGCTTTTTATCTTTTATCCTGTGCAAACAGTTAATATTTATGTATCTGCTATTGCTGTACAAAGCTAATAGTTGTGTTACTTTCTTTTCTCTTAGTTTTACTCAAAGTTAGAAGAAAAACACCAAGCTCTTGAGGCAGAGAAAAACCAATGTGAAGCGAGGACAAAGGTATATTCTTCTGTTTCTCATTTTTACTAGAATGGCATACGTACAAGTCAACTTTTTCTTTATCACAAATCTATTTTCATGATAGAAATGATAGATACTCCATCGACAACAAGGGGACCCAATCATTCTTATTGGTGTTTCATTGTATATAAAATTTACCAGGCAATCATTTTTTTGGAACCTGAGGCATCATCAAAATGATTTATAGTTTGTGACTTCTTCATGACTTCATCAATTAACCTTACATGCCTATATTTGTGGAGCACTAGCAGTCTTAAGAACCAAACTATTCTTTGTGTAACTGCTACGTCATTTTTCAGTCTTCTACTAGAAAGCAATTGATTTAGTGGGCAAGGGATTATAATGAAATGTTCAATTAGCTATGCTAAAGTTTAGTTTTTCTCTAGTTTGTCAAAGTTGCAGAAATAATACAACCTCCAACCATGAACCTCCTTTAAAGTTCAGGTGCAACATCTAAATTTATTCTTGTCGCTTGGTTCTGGATGGCATACTCCTTAGCTTTAAACAAGTTGAGAATTGAGATTGAAAGTGATACTCTGGTTCAAGTTAATAAACATTTGCAGGAGTTCACAACTACAAAGCTCTCTAAATTAACAAATATTGGGTTCTGGCAGGAAAATATCTCATTGGGTCATATTCATTGAATTTTTTACTGATGACTGAATTATAAAGTGTAGCAAGTCAGCGGGTTTAGGAGATAGCTGTTGTTTATTGGCTAAAATGTCCGCAAAGATGTTACATGAAGTTTACTTCATATTTTTTTAAAGTATGCTGGATTTGGATTAGTCGACATTGTTTGATGTCATTTATCTTAGGCCTTAAAAAGGAACTAAGAAGCAATAACAGCTCATACTGTGGTATTAGAGCAGCTCCAACGGGGTTTTAAAACTGCATTTTGCAGCCCCGAAGCCCTCCAATGGGGCTGCATCTCCGGCTGCATTTTGCAGCCAGAGGAAATGGGGCTGCATTTATGCAGCCTCTGCCCTCATTTTGCAGTTTGCTGCAAATGAACTGTGCATTTTTCTTAAAGCCTCTGCCCTCATTTTGCAGTTTGTTGCAAATGAACTATGCATTTTTCTTAAATGCCAAGTTTGCCCTTTTTTGATTTATAAACCAATACTTATTACTTCCATATCCTTTTTAATTAGTAACTACTAATTTAAAATCAACATAAGTTTATTTTTACTAATTATTTTTAAATAAAAATTTTACCATTGGAAATGTTTTGTCGATACCTTCAAAATAAGACTAATATTGAATAATATTAATTGAAATATAAAATTTTAAGAACCAAGTAATTAAAAATGAAAAGTCATTATTTCATTATTAAAAAAAGTTACATCACTTCATTTCCATGTTTTTCCCACAAATGTTCAATCAATGCATTTCGAAGTGCAAAATGAGCTTCTTTGTTTTTCAACCTCTTATGTCGAGCAAGGAACCGTGGGAATCGTTCAGTTTCCGTTATCTCCATATTTTTAGCATTCGGAATTGATTATGGAGTTGAAATGACAACATCTTCTTGCTCGTCGCGTTTATCTTTGACAATCATATTGTGCGTTATAATACAAGCAGTCATGATATCATGCAGAGTTCGTTTATCCCAAAAATGGGCTGACCCCTTGATGATAGCAAATCGTGATTGGAGAACACCGAATGCCCGGTCCACATCTTTTCAACATGCTTCTTGCATCATTGCAAAATATTGTTTCATTTTATCATCGGAATTAGAAATGATTTGAACAAGTGTTGGCCATTTTGGATATATGCCATCAGTCAAATAATAACCGACATCATAATTTTTTCCTTGAATTGTGTAATGAGCAGGAGGAGCAATACCTTATGATAGATTATCGAACAAATTAGACGACTGCAATACATTAATATCGTTATTGGATCCTGGTAAGCCAAAGTATGCATGCCATATTATCATATGATGCTACTGCCTCAAGAATAATGGTTGGACCTCCATGACGGCCTGAGTATTATCCTGCTCATGCTGTTGGACAATTTTTTCATTGCCAATGCATACACTCTAGACTTCCTAACATTCCTGGAAAACCTTTTTCTTCGCCCTTTTACAATAACCTTGTAACATCGTCGACATTGGGGGTCCTCAGATATTCATCTCCATATACTTCTACAATTGCTCTGCAAAATCTCTTTAAACATACAATTGTAGTTGACTCACCGATCCTAACATATTCATCAGTACTATCTGCTAATGTTCCATACGCCAACATGCGAAATGCCGATGTAACTTTTTGTAAAATTGATAGCCCAAGTTTGCCGACACCATCTATCTTCTGTACAAAGAAGTTGTCATGCTCACGTACCGCCTCGACTATACGAAGGAATAAACTCCTGTGCATCCGGAAACTTCTACGGAATAGGTTTGCACCATATATAGGGTTATCAGAAAAATAGTCATGGTAAAGTTGAGAATTACCTTCTTCCCTCCCGCGATTGATCACCAAATGATCAGGAACTGAGCCAATACGCTTTGGCCGCTCTGCCTCTTGAGAGAGATAAGTCATTATTTTATTATTAGAGGCATATACACGAGCTAAGAGTTCATCTTCCTTCTCCTATTGTGTCTTATCTTCCTCCCAATCTTTAATGTACTGAGAAAATATTTCGTCGTCGTCAGAAGAAGAAGGTAGATGTGACAGTCCGACTCTATAGTTCATTGATGAAGAAGTTATTTATAGAAATAAACTATAAGTTGTGAGTTGTTTAGAGATGGATGTAATGTCATTATATAATATTCCTCCCCACATAGGATTCTTTTTAGCATTGGATTCTCTCCAGCATTGGATTATCTTTGTGTTGGATTCTCCCCCACATTGGATTCCTTCAGTGTTGGAGACTCCCTACATTGGATTCCTTTCGTGTTGGAGACTCTCCATATTGGATTCTCCTGGTGTTGGAGACTCTCCACATTAGATTCTCCTGGTGTTGGAGACTCCCCACATTGGATTCTCGGTGTCGGAGACTCCCCATGTTGGATTCTCCTGGTGTTGGAGACTCCCCACATTGGATTCTCCTAGTGTTGGAGACTCCCCACGTTAGATTCCTGGTGTTGGAGACTCCCCACATTGGATTCTCCTGGTGTTGGAGACTCCCCACATCTGATCCCTATATAATACTTGCATAATTTTCATATCTTCACCACAACTCTTCTTATCTATATTCATAACTCTTTACATTCCTCCATCATAATAGTATCATCCTCAACAACATTATCTCCTTAGATTATGGCATCTAGTCGCGGAAATCTTTTTTACAACAAGAAGACCAAAATTTATACGTCACGTGGCTTGAAATTTCTCAAGACCCAGTCATGGGTTCTAATCAAAAGAAGGACAAGCTGTGGGAACGAATTTCTACTTTATTTCATGAAAGGATTTCTAATATTTGTAATACTCAAAGGACTCCGAAGTCTCTCTCATGCTGAATGCAATTAATTATGAAGGCCATCAGTAAATTTCGAGGATGTATTCGACAAGTCGAGCGCCTAAATCCAAGCGGTGCTTCTGAGCTTGACATTGTAAGTATTTTGAATAACATAAATCTTGATTATCATGCTAAATCCAAGCGGTGCTTCTGAGCTTGACATTGTAAGTATTTTGAATAACATAAATCTTGATTATCATGTTATTAATAAATGTTTCTTCCTCTCTTGTGGTAGATTAAACGTGCTAGGATAATATTTGCAGAAGATCCAGAAGAGAAAAAGAGGTTTCTATTTGATCATGTTTGGTCAATTTTAAAAGATGCAGAGAAATGTGCAAATATAAATGTCAGATTGCCTGCAGCTTCCAAAACTTCGAAGTCCCGCTCATCTCAGGGATCAGATTCAAGTTCTCCTGTCATCGACTTAAATGACGATAATGAGGGATATACTCATAATAACGACGATATGATAACAAGTCAACCGACAGGAAGGAAGAAAGAGAAGATGAGGAGGCGACAGACAACTGAAAAGAACCTCGACTTTGAAACTCTCAATAAAAGCAATCAAGAAATTGTCGATATTTTAAAAAAAAGTCATGGACAACGAGAAAATGATAGAATGACAATGCACCAGATTATGATGTTAATGGCCGAAAACGATAAGAACAAATTAGATCTTCAAAGGGAACGACAGGAAAGTAAAATTATGTTAATTAATCTTGATACTATTACTGATCCTTCGGAACGCGAGTATTTTCGAATTAAAAAACAAGAGATTTTAAATAGAAATACAACTGGAGGTTCTTCATCTGATATTCCTAATCCTGAATATAGTTATGCAGGAAGTCAATACGGAATACCTGACTACAGAAGCGGTGGATATGGAGGAAATAGCCTGCTCGATTTTTAGTTTTTTTCATGTACTTTATTTTTCTATGTAATGCCGCTGAATGTAACATATAAAATTTCATCCTTCGGAGTAGTTATGAAGGTTGTTCCAAATATTATGCTATATTTTCTGGTTTTTAAAATTTAAAGGCTCTTATCTATGTCTTATTATCAATTTATTAAAGATAATTAATTTTATTTAAATAATGAGTATATTATATATTATAATTTTAGTATTAATTTATAATATATTTTAAATTAATTCATATAATTTTTTAAACATTTTATATTTTTTATATTTTCAAATCCATTTAAAATATTATAAAAGCAATCAATTGAAAATATAAATGGAGCTTCATATAGAAGGGGGTGGTTGGAGTGCCCCCTCTAAAAAGAATATTCAAGAGAATATTCTTTGGGGAGGCTGCATTTTGCAGGCTCCCCATTAGAGTTGCTCTTAAAGCTTTTGTCCTCGGGTCATTCCTCTGGAAACTTATTGAGCTTAAGGTGAACATCGAAGTACTTGGTTCTGATTTTTCTTGAATCCATGTATACATGGTTGAATAATTGTACTAAGACGAGAAGATAAATGCGATGAATCTTAAGGAGAGCTCTATAAATTTGTTCAACCCACAAATTAAAGACTAGTAGTCTCAGATTATCTGCAAATATAGCTACTTTCATAAGCTTGTAAAGCTAATAGTTTCTGTAACGTATCTTGATGCACTCTTTTATCTATTTCTACTGTACCTGAACTGGGGTGTAGTCTGAAGAGCATCAGTATATTTTGATCTCATGTTCTATCTCTTTTCAGTCTCATGTAGAAGTTACTGACATGTAAAATAGTTGAATATGATTTCGTTTGTTGTAACTGTTGGACATGGTGAAGGCTTGACTTACATGCTTGCTTGGTCTCACCAGCTGACTAGTTGTTGGGTGCCTTTTCCTATTGCACCTAACCTATGTAGTCAGTAGAACATTCAAATTCATTCTTCTATCACATGATCCTCTCTTTTGATCAGTCTTAGACTCTTATGTAAAGGTTGTTCATATGGAAAAGTTGAGTTTGATTTTCTGTTCCTTATGTTGGATACAAATGCAAAGGCCTTGGGCAGGCAAGCTGCACAAGATGAGTTGCTCGTGTGAGATGGTCTTGTGTCATTTATATGAGCTGTCAACTTAGTGTACACTTATCTTTCTTAACTTATTGTTTCTACCTTCTTTTTTAAGTTGTTATATGTTCTTTCTGAAGTTCTTATATGTCAAAATCTATTTATATTATTGACCATCAGGCCGACGCCTTTGATTATTTTTCTCTATCTTATGGCAAGGTTTGAATGTAGTTTGGACACCAGGGGCTGAAAATGAGCGGAATTCTCAAATGCTTATCATTAATGCTAGTTTTTGTTGTTCTTATTCAAAAGTCCTATTTCAGCTACCGAAATTCTTGCTCACAAGAGTCCCTAAGAATCATATCCATTATAATGTGATTACACTTCAAATACTACTGATGTGTTTTGAGAATCTGAGGTTATGTTTTTTGTGCAATTAAAAGTCGAAGAACTTCTGCAATATATTGAGAGCCAAAATCTTAAAAATTGGCTGAAGTCAAACATTGTAAGTGCGCCAGATTGGATTTTCGATACATACGATCTATATCACATACCTGATCCACAAGAATACCTATATTATTGTGTTTGGCAGATTCATGACAGTTTTGACCGGTCATTTACTGTCTAGTTAGTTGTAGTCTGTCCCACCAATCATCTTGTGAGGATTTAATTCTTTCATGTTTTGCATTTTATTGCTTTCTTCTATTTTCTGGCACGTGACTTGTTTAACTATTTAGCTGAAAAGAACTTCCTCAACATCCAACCTATTAAAATGAAAAGTAATCTTTATCCTTAATGCCATAACTTGAATTCTTATTCGTCTCAGGAAGAAAGGGAGGCAGCTCTAAGGCAACTTAGGAAGAGCATGGCTTTTAAGGCTACACCTATGCCGAGCTTCTACCTTGAAGGCCCCCCTCCTAAAGTTGAACTGAAAAAGGTACTCTAATGCTTTGTTTGGGAGTAAACTAAGGGAAGGGACGGAAAGTTAAATAATGGAAAGGAAAGGTAGGGAATTGAAGTAAAAAGATAAAATGTTGTTTGGAAGTTTAGTTAGGGGAACGGAAGTAAAATTTTAAATTTGTTTTACCTTATTTGGGAGTTCTAATAAAGAGGAGGGAACTAAAGTGAATATAGTCGAAGTTACATAAATACCATTGGATGAGAATGCATCTTGGCCATAGATTTTAGTCTGATAAGGGTATAGTTGTCTTATTTCATTGTAAAACTTTACACCCGTTCCCATTACTTCCTCTACCGCCCAAATTGGAGGGGAGAAAAATGGGTACAAATTTAACCTTCCATTCCATCCTCTAACCCCTCAAAAAAACTCCTAAACGAGGTGAAATCGAAATTTCACTTTAACTTCCATTGATTCACCTCCATACAAACACACTGTAAGGAACTTTGTTAGAATAATTCTTTTTTTAAAAAAAATCATATTCTTCATTGCTGTAGTGTAGGCTCAGACTCTCACCAGGTCAGTCCGTGGAAATTTAACTGTCAACTGAAGGTTGTATCTTGAACAATGTATAGGATCCTATGCAATGGTTCCTCTAAAACTAGCTTGTTCACGTTTCACTTACAGTGTGTTTGGGAGATGACTTAGGGAAGGGAAGGAAGGGGAAAAGTTCACATGCTCTAGGGATTAGAGAACCTTTACTAAATTATTACTGTGTTAAGTTTATGTCAGTTTTAGTCCTTTTTATTTTTGATGCAACTCTGAATCAGTGCATGTAAAGTTGTTACTAGACGATCGACGCTTCTTAACTTTTTCAGAGGTAATCACATCTGGCTGTGTTTTTTCTGTTTTCATACTAAATGATTGCCATTCACATTTCAAACCTGATGTAGTGTATTGTTTGTAAATCCCTGCAGACTGTGAACTTAGTTTGATCAGGTTCTAAAACCTTTAGATCTTAAATAAACTCATTTTTGAAGCGTGTGAAAGACATGTTTATACCTCCTGAACTAAATTGTGCTGGCATCTCCGTCCCTTATCATAACCTATTCTCCCTTCCTCATCATAACCCATTTGTTTCCTGTTCTTTTGAGAGAAAAGATGTGGTCTCAAAATGGAACACCCCAGCCTGAACCATTTGTTCTTTTTTGTTTCTTTTTCCCATTTACTGTGGAATCACTTGCAAGATCATTGTCCCAGATTCTCCTGTAATTCAAATGTTCCCCTTTCACTTTATTTCTGCCTACTCAGATGCTGTAGTTTGTCAGTCAACTAAGTTATGTCCTCTTCGTTGTTGCCATCCTAGATAACCTCTTTGCTTTCCAAGTGCAGGGTGGAGGCTTTCCTATTCTTTTCTAACAACCCCCTTTAATTAGCTTATTAGGATTTATGATTATAGTATATACAAACTGTACTTCTAAAATAGTGCACTCATCCTCAAAGACAAATGTAATTGTTATCTTTGTTATTTGGATCTATGATTAGAGTCCATATGAGCAGTTATGGCTTTAATAATTTTTGCTATGCTCAAACAATGTTATTGGTTAAATAAAAACTTGACATGTAGTTATTACAACAGAGAAGTTATAAATCTGGTTTTTCTCATTTACTTAGATGTATTAGTAATTTAGTAGTTTTATAAATAAACCTTTTGACAAGACAATTATTAATAGAAAAACTTTGAACTTGATTTTTTACTTTTTCAACTAAAGCTTGAAGAAGGGGACGGGTATCCCAATCTTTGAAGAATAAATACTATGAAATATTTTTAAATAAAGAATTATGAAATCACGTTTTCCATTTGTTTAGCTAAGTTGAGATAGAAGCATTTGGACAGTTTAATAAATAAAGAAGTATCAAAATATTATCATTCAAAAAAAAGAGTACTCTTATTCATTGAAATAAAATTGAAAAAGGGGGCTGGGTTGTTTTAATGCCAAATAATTATTGTCAGAAAATTTTAAAATAAATTTCTACTTGCTCATATAAATTAAGAATGAGGCAATTAACTAATTATATGGAGGGTTTTTTTCGATATAAGTCCCTTACGTTTTCATATTTTGATATTAGTCCCTCAAATCTTCATATTTTGATATTAGTCACCCAAGCTACAATAATGTGTTGATATTAGTCCTTTTGATGGGATCACTTTCATAAACCCTAAACTGTGGTTGGGTTTATATTAACCATCGTTGGCTAAGTTACCTGGACGCTTGACCTCATATTTATGCAACTTGTTAGACTCTGCTCGGGTTCGTTGCAACCCGTAACCAGTTCATAAATACGATTTTAAAGGGTCGTGGTATCTAGTTCAGAAATACGAGGTTTTTCAATTTATAATCTACTCAATAAAAGAAACATAAAAATGTTAGAGGAATTTTATTTCTCGTAACATGTGATTACAAAACAATATTGATCTGATAGAAATTATTATTTTCAATATGTATATATTGATGTGTCCCTGTATCCTATCATTTATAAATTTTATTTCAACATGTGAATGATAAAATACATTAATGAAACCTGTTGAAGCTAATTAAGAACATACAAAGAAACTATATAGTTGGGTCTGTACTCAATCACCTCAACTTACAAAAAAATGATTGTGAGAATTTGGGTGAGATATATTTATGCATGTCAAAACATATTCATAAGTAAATTCTAATTTAATCTGATAAAGAATCATGTACAAATAAGACCTAACTTGGCCTATCATCGTTAATTATTAAAAAAAAACAGAAATAATAAAATGCGGCATTTGTCGAAAGATTTTTTTTAAAGGGGGCCTATGCGAATAAGAGGGCCTATGCGAATAAGATAAGAGGTTGGAATGTGTCTAGATGTTTTGATTATAGCTCAATTAAAAGGAAAAAAAAACAAAGGAAAAAAGAAAAGAAAAAAAGGGAACATGAAGTGGAGAATCAGATCTAAGCTTCTTAGATACAGTACTAGAGCAAAGCTGTGGGAAGAGAAAAGTAAAGAAAAAGTATATCTTGAGTTTAGATTTAATTTCATCACCACCCACCTAGCAAACTTAATCTTTATACACACGAAGCCGTTGATAATATCCCTGACCTATATATATCCCAACCTCTCCATAGAAAAAAACAAGACGTACCTCGAGCAGAGCCGACCTGCAAAAAAATATCAACGAGCATGGTTTTAAATATCGGCCGATAATCCGATATTATCGCTGAGTTATCAGATTTGGGAGCTTTCCGCTAGGATAAGTAGGATTTTTAATCGGTTATCGTTTTTTGAGGTTTATCGGCGATAAAGACACTTATCGGCCGATAAGTAGGCTCTAAATATCGGCTTTATCGGCCGATAAGTAGGATTTGTGAGCTTTTACTTTCTTTTGAATTTGCTCTTTGAATGTTTACAAATTATGAGCTATTTGTTACTTTTGGAACTTGGTTGATTGGTGATTAGCTAATGTTTGTTTATGGATATTGATAATGGCTCATAACTACTAAATATCAACTTAGTAAGTTAGTTTATGAATCTTATGATTAAACAATAATTATGTAGATGCGTAGATGGATCTTCATTCTTGATGTTATCTTATTATTTGCTTGTTTATTATTCCATTTTGACCAACATTATATTTTTTTAAGCTTATGTTTGTTTATTATTTGCTAGTATATTACTCCGATAAATATTACTTATCCCTGATATATCCCCGATTTTCGCTATCCGATAAGGATTTTGACCGTCCGATAAATCCCCGATGACCGACACTTAAAACCTTGTCAACGAGACACAAGAAGAAAAACCACGTTTTCCCCAAATAAAAAAAGTAAGATGTTTTCTTCTCTATCAAAACATCCGCCGAATAATAATGTTCGTTGAGAAAAGTCTTAAAAGCACCATGCTAAAATAACACGTTCACATATAACACCGAGTCTCTGTAGTCATTTGGAGTCCTTGTACTCCTATTCACTTTAAAGTCTCTGTACTCTTTTGGAATCCTGTACTCGCGCTCAGAGTCTCTGTACTTTGTCCTCCCCTCTTTAATTTTTAATCTGAGTATTTGCACTCATCTATGAAGTCTCCGTATTCTTTTTGAGTCCCCGTACTCCCTCTCAGAGTCGATGTACTCTTTTAAAGTTCCTGCACTCCTGAATCTGAGTCTCTGCACTCATTTTGAATCCTGGTACTCTCCCAGGTCCATTATTATTTTCGATTTGAAATTTTGATGATCTTTTTGACACAATAAAAAATGGATACAGACTGAAAAGAGTGCACAAAAAAAAAAATCTACTATCTTAAATAAAAAAAGGGAGAAAGATTTAAGAGTAATCAACTCCTTTTTTTAGCACATAACAGCATCAAATCGCTCCGAAGATGTATGATTGATACAAAATAAAACAAATTATGAATTGAAAAGATCCGCAGCTATTTTGGATCGGTAAGAGGGAAGAGGATTTGTAGTTTACCTTCAGATCACCAACTTTGTTAAATCCTTATAGTCTCTACCAAGCAAGTTGCCTACTTTAAGACTGGTGCAATGTCAGATTTTGATATTTTAGGCATGACCCTATCACTAATTTATAGAGCTTGTAAAACTGATTTTGACTGGGAAAGGATGTCTTATTTCTAATGATAAAGATAATTCTAATAAGCAAAGGCATCTTGTTGATTTGCTTTGATCAAATAAATTCAAATCCATTAAGTGTGGTACTTATTAAAACTGCAACACACCTTAAACAAAAATCTGCCATAAGCCAACAAAATTTCAAAGATGAGCTTTTGAACTTTGTTAAACTCTTTCACAAAGGAAGTTGTGTACATTGCATATGAGTCCCTCCGCAAATCCCATGCGTTGCAAACAACTTCCTGTACAAATTCTTTAAATTATAAAACAGCCTCTCAACTTCTGGAAATTACAAAATCACCCCAGAATATGCGAACAACCCCACTTAAGTTTGTTGAAATCAGTCTAAAAAATTCTGAATTATAGAAAACAATCCAAAATT